GTGTTTTTTGTAATTTTTTATATATATATGTTTTTTATTAATGTTTATTTCTTTTTATTTTAGTTATTTTAGTTCATCAAGAAAAATTAGAATAGTCACTTTCGCAACTAGCTGAAATAGAAAGTTTATTATATTATTTTAAATTTTATTTTATTTCAGTTAATGTTTATTTTATTTCAAGTAGTTTTTTATGGCTTTGGTTTTAGTTTTGGTTTTAATTTTAGTTAAAGGGTTACTCCACCCCAAAATGAAAATATTGTCATTTTGTCATTAATTGAATTGTCATTTGGAGTGGAGTAACCCTTTAACTAAATCCTGGTTAAATGTCTGTAAAGTTTTTATTAATTTAGATTTTATTGGGTTAATTAATTTCTATTTATTTCATTTTAGTTATTTTAGTACAAATAAAAAAATACTGCCTTAAAACAATATTTTAAAAAGAATAAAAAGCGTTTATATATATATACTGTAGATATATATATTTTTTCTCCCAATTTAACATTTATTTTAAGTTACAAAAATGTTTTAATGGTCTTAGTTTTAGTAAACTACAATAACCTTGGTTCACATTTTATGTTAATGCAGAAATTTCAGTTTATGCCATGTCTGTGATTCATAAATCAATTTTACAAAATAGATATTATATTATTAAATAAATATTTAAATCATGTGGTAAGTATCTCTTATTTGCAATATATATTAATTTAGAAATTAGGAAGTTAATGTATTGGAGTACAGCAAAATATGAGAAAAATTCTATATTTTCATAAAAAAATAAAGCATTTTTAGCACCATTAAGATTTAGTTGCATTTTAATACCATAAAGCATTTAATTAATAAATGTTTTATTTATTTATAGTTTATAATTTATTTATAACATTATGTATACATTTTGTACAATTAAAAATGTTTTTTTTTACATTACAGTCATAAAAATAAGATGATTTCTTAATCGTAATAAGTAAGAAAGGTAAGTAGTAAATGTAACAGTGCAAAAAAGCTTAATAGGTTACAGGTTTTTTTTGTTGTGAGATAAAAAAAAATCCAAGAAAACAAATGACGAATCTAAGAAAAAGGGGGGAAAAATAAAATATATGTACAGTATATATGTTTATTTTTCCTTTTTCTTAAGTTCTTAATAAAGATAAATGTAACAGTGCAAAAAAAAAGCTTAGGTTACAGTTTATTTTAAATAGATTTTTAGAAATGTTTTGAGTGGAAAGTTATGTCTGTGATTCATAAATCAATTTTACAAAATAGATATTATATTATTAAATAAATATTTAAATATTATGCAATATTTTATATGAGATCAAAGTAATGTATTATATTTGATCGTTTTAATTTATACATTTTTTTCTAAATATTTCTTTATCTTATTACAATTTATTTTAAAACATTTCATAAAAGGTGCCTGATAAGTTTTACTATTTAATAGTACTATTAAGTACTATTACTATTAATTTACTATATATTATGTTTTTTTTTAATCATTAGTAATCTGTGATGCTTGTTTTGATTTCTCAGCCATCTGGGAAGTGTTGAAGACTTACTATGATCCACATATAAAAGCACTGCATTCCTGACACTTCCTCTGTGTATCTTCTGGTCCCCGAAGACAGCTTAGCTATATCCATAAACTACATTATGGCAACTCCTGAGAACAAGCGCCAAGACCTCCCCAAGGAACAGGCACTTCTAAAAGTGCCATTAAAAAGGTTGAAGCGAGACAGAGCCGTAGACGGCACACCCATAAAGAAACGTGTGATGGCTGCTCTCAATTTATCCTGCAAAAAGATCCCAGAAACCTCTCTCGGCTATCAGGTCTCAAAGGCAACGAACAAAATGGAGGCCAATCCGGATCTGAGTCCTGGTTTGAAGCACACTCTAGCGCAGTTCTCGCTGAGCAGCCAGTGTTCCCTCGGTGGCCCGGCTGCGTTCACTGGCCATCATGAACAGTATAAGATAGCGCCCCCTCTGGCTCAGGGAGGTATGGCAGGGGGACCCGTTCTAGTTCCCCCTGACAGCTCGACAGACCTTGTCCTCTGCTGTCTGGAGGGCGAATCCATCTACTGCTTCTCTGTAGGAGGCGAACTGCGTCTTTGTCTACCCCAGCTGCTCAACACCGTCCTGCGGGAATTCTCGTTGCAACAGATCAACTCTGTGTGCGACCAGCTGTATTTGTACTGCTCCCGCTGCGATGCCACACAGTTACACATCCTCAAAGTGCTGGGCATCCTTCCTCCAGGGACCCCATCCTGCGGCCTCATCACGCTGACCGATGCCCAGCGTCTCTGCAACACCCTGCTGCATCCGGGTGAGGAACCCTCTCGTGAGTCACACAAAGGGCATGGTGATAGAGAGGAGTATGAGAAAAACGGCGAGGAATCTGGAGGATTTTGGGTGGAACACCAGTGTCTGGGCAAGTGTCACGGCCTGTTTGTACCCCAGCTTTACTCCAGCCCGGATGCGCACTGTATCTGCTGTTCCCAATGCCGGATGTCATTTTCCCGGATACAGACTAGACTTTCTGTTTACATTTAATATATAATATTGATACTTATTAGATATAATATACCTCTAGAGACAATAAAAAAGTGCAATAATGTCTAGCAAACAAAATTAATATTAGTTTTGTCTATCTAGCTATCTATCTATCTGTCTGTCTGTTTTAACTATCTATCTATCTGTCTGTCTGTCTGTCTGTCTGTCTTCACAATTTTATGATTATATATGGAACCAAATGCACATAAACACACTGTAATGTGCATGTGACAATGACCATGTTAAGGTCAAGGCAGGAAGACTAACTGATATTTGACTATAATTGAACCTTATAGTCAAATCTTGTGTATTTGAGCTGTTTCACAAGGTCACAAATGAATCATGTAATTGTAGTGCATTAAGAGTGACCGTCCTGCTCATGTCACTTCGTAAATAGCAGCGTAGATTAGAGTCCTCGTGCCATGAGCGCCATGTGATGGCCCAGACAGCACACCCTTCCCCAACCAGAGGCGTCTGGAGCTCTCGCACAGGACTTCACATGTAAATGTATGAAAGAGTGTGTGTGTGTGTTTTTAAATAAACCTGTATTGCTTGTTTTGTTTCTAAGAGACATACACCAAACCGTTCCTAGCACTGGTATACGGTTTCAAACGTATGCTTAGAAAGGCTCTATTTCCATAGAAGAACCATGTATCGAGTGAAGAACAGTTTCAGGGCTGTGCTTCGTAGCCACAGCGGAGGGACTTTTGAGTACGTGTGAATTGAAAGTGTGAATGACCATAAAGGACATTTTTGTCTCTACATTGTGTGGGTGTATGTTTTATATATTTTTAAAGGTCCACATGCTCTTAAGCATGCATGTGGTGTGCAAGCTGGTCGCTGAGGCTTTATGATAGATCAGATGGCCTATTTCCATTAAAGCAGCTTACGTTACCGGCTGTTGATGGGAGAAACATCCATATTTCCTCCAGTATTCAGATTCAAGTTTCTGTTCTATATCAGGGAGTGCAACATCACCACACGGCCTGTAAAACATGTCAGAATGAGAGAGTTAATCCAGGATGAGCTTTCACAATGATATAAAGTCTTATTTACATATTTCTAGATCTGGCTTGTCTATTGGAATAGAATGAATCATAAGAACTAAATGTGTGTGTGCATAAAGGTGTGCAGAAGTGACACGGTTCATACTGGTGTGCTTTAGGAGGCTGCTTTAGCAAGTAAAGGGATTAAATCAATGTTCACTAAGTGAGAATACCAACGTGATCTCATGGTTTTGTCTATCTAGCTATCTATCTATCTGTCTGTCTGTTTTAACTATCTATCTATCTATCTGTCTGTCTGTCTGTCTGTCTGTCTTCACAATTTTATGATTATATATGGAACCAAATGCACATAAACACACTGTAATGTGCATGTGACAATGACAATGTTAAGGTCAAGGCAGGAAGACTAACTGATATTTGACTATAATTGAACCTTATAGTCAAATCTTGTGTATTTGAGCTGTTTCACAAGGTCACAAATGAATCATGTAATTGTAGTGCATTAAGAGTGACCGTCCTGCTCATGTCACTTCGTAAATAGCAGCGTAGATTAGAGTCCTCGTGCCATGAGCGCCATGTGATGGCCCAGACAGCACACCCTTCCCCAACCAGAGGCGTCTGGAGCTCTCGCACAGGACTTCACATGTAAATGTATGAAAGAGTGTGTGTGTGTGTTTTTAAATAAACCTGTATTGCTTGTTTTGTTTCTAAGAGACATACACCAAACCGTTCCTAGCACTGGTATACAGTTTCAAACGTATGCTTAGAAAGGCTCTATTTCCATAGAAGAACCATGTATCGAGTGAAGAACAGTTTCAGTGCTTCCGTGCTTCGTAGCCACAGCGGAGGGACTTTTGAGTATGTGTGAATTGAAAGTGTGAATGACCATAAAGGAAATTTTTGTCTCTACATTGTGTGGGTGTATGGTTTATATATTTTTAAAGGTCCACATGCTCTTAAGCATGCATGTGGTGTGCAAGCTGGTCGCTGAGGCTTTATGATAGATCAGATGGCCTATTTCCATTAAAGCAGCTTACGTTACCGGCTGTTGATGGGAGAAACATCCATATTTCCTCCAGTATTCAGATTCAAGTTTCTGTTCTATATCAGGGAGTGCAACATCACCACACGGCCTGTAAAACATGTCAGAATGAGAGAGTTAATCCAGGATGAGCTTTCACAATGATATAAAGTCTTATTTACATATTTCTAGATCTGGGTTGTCTATTGGAATAGAATGAATCATAAGAACTAAATGTGTGTGTGCATAAAGGTGTGCAGAAGTGACACGGTTCATACTGGTGTGCTTTAGGAGGCTGCTTTAGCAAGTAAAGGGATTAAATCAATGTTCACTAAGTGAGAATACGCAATGCGACTGCTAATACGTTAAGAGCAATCTGCATTAACACACAATGGGTTAATCAATCCCTTTTTGTTAGTGGAACCAGGCTAACGAGTTCTTTTTATCTCTCTCTTTCAGGGAGTATCTTCACCTGCTTTTGTGTTTGACTCACGCTTGCTTGCCAGTCTTAAGGAGGACCCTGGTCATGTTGACTTGATGTGGCAAAGGTTCAGTTCATTCGCAAATATACATTATTCAATATATATCAGAAAAATCTGATCCTGGCCATATTTCTTCCCCCCCCCCAAAAAAGAAATTATAATATACAAAGCACAAAGAAAAATATTTTTTTGTACTGTGACATTATTTTACACTATTCCTTACTGTAAAATAATGAATTACTGCAATTCAGTGGATGCTTTACTTTTTGAGTTTATTTGTTATTTTTATTGTTCTCGGTTTTCGTTCTCAGTTTTCATTCTCATGACCTCATAATTATCAAAATAAAAATAAAAATGCAATTCAATAAATTAAATGTAAATGAATTCAAATTAAAAGGGTTATTGTTCTCATTGGTGAGTCATTACCTCATAATTATCAAAACAATTAAATACAAAATGTAAATAAATTAAAATGCAAAGGTTTGAATTCAACAAAATTGTTACACTGAAATAGAGATAATAAAGAATAAATAAATAAATACATAATTGCTATTGTGATATAAATATTGTATAATTTGGGGTAATATGCTTAATTGTAATGAAAATAATGTCACAATGTAAATAATCTTAATTATGCTAAAATAGGCATTGCTGTCTGTAAAATATAATTTTGTATTTTTTTTCAGTTGATTTTGAGGTGAAATATGATCTGTACTTAGAAGCATGTTCTTATAAGCAGTGTTATTTTAGCATCAGATGAGATAATTATTCGTTTTTGTTTAGATTTTGAATGAGATTTTATTTGTATATTTTGTCTTGAATTAGATTTTATTTGTATATTTTATTTCAGTTAAGGATTTAGTAATTTTGTTTTTGTTATTTTTAATATTACTGCAGTAATTCTGCCATTGAATGTAGTTTTAGTACAAAACAGCAAGTAACTTCTCTTATTGTTTTCCTCCCCAGCTGGTACCAGTACATGCCTGACAAGCTGGAAGGTAATGGCTTGGCACAACATCCTGTGTATGTGCCTGGAAAGGAAATGGGGTCTCCAGGAACAGAGACTCTCAGTGATACTCAGGATGAAAAGAATCAGGAAGCACATGACACTGACCCAAGCACGCCCACCTATGCAGGTCAGTTTGCTTCCATCATAAGTCACATTGCACAAATAAACGTACTTATTCTTAATGAGAGATCTAACTGACACAGGGCAAGAAAAACATGGCCAGTCAGATGATGCCAGTCCAGACGAATGGCAGAAAGTAGACATGGCAGCTTATAAGCGGTCGGTTGGTGTGACTGTGGAGCACAGTAAGGACGGCATGGTGATGGAGCTTCTTCAGATGTACAGCGCGCAACACAACAAACTTCAGTCAACACTACGCAGACAGAAGCAGCTTGAAAAGGTTTTTACCCCGACTAGATTACAATACAGCACACTTAATGTCTGTTTTTAGCACCTCATTTTCATTTGCCAGAAGGTGCGTGTGAGTATCTTATGACTTTCTCACTCTGGTACTTGTGAACAGGAGCTGCAGGCTCTCCGTCAAGGTGAAGCCACAGACCGCTGTGACCTACACGGGGAGCTGGAGGCGGTTCAGACTGAACATGCTCAGAGGCTCGGTGAAGTCCAGCAGGAACAGAGAAAGTTAAAGTCCCGACTTGACCAGCTGAGGCAGCAAGGCTGCAGATGCAAAGAGCTGGCTACTGAGCCACACCAGGAAACTATCTATGCCAAACAGGTACCGACCAATCACAAACATCCACACAAGTCCTTATCAGGTTCATCATTTGTCATACTTTCTTTTCATACAATTTTTTAGGTTAATTTTAATTGTAAAGAAGCCTCTTATGTTCACCAAGGCTGCATTTATTTGATCAAACATACTGTAAAAACAGTAATATTGTGAAATATTATTACTATTTAAAATAGCAGTTTTCTATTTTTTATATATTTTAAAATGTAATTTATTCTTGTGATGGCAAAGCTGAATTTTCAGCATCATTACTCCAGTCTTCAGTGCCACGTGATCCTTCAGATATCATTCTAATATGATGATTTGCTGCTCAAGAAACATTTCTTCTTATCAATGTTGAAAACATTTGTGCTGCTTAATATTTTTGTGGAAGTCTTGATATATTTTTTCACATTTCTTTAATAAATAGAAAGTTCAAAGGAACAACTTTTTATAAAGATAGACATTTTTGGTAGCATTAGTAATTTAGAAAAATAATTTCTTAAATAAAAAAGACAATCTTATTGACTCCAAATGAATGGTGGGGATAAAAAAATATTTTATATTGATATAGTATATAATAAAAATGTATATATATTTTCTAGAAGTATAAGTATATATAAGTATAAGTAAGAAAACAGTACTACTGTGTAATATTATTATTATTATTATTTAAAATAACTGAAAGTTCAAAGAAATTCCATTTATTTGAAATAAAAATATTATCTATTTAATTAAAAAAAAATTATATTTAATGTATTCTTGCTGAATAAAAGTATTAATATCTTTAAAAAATAAATTATAAATCACTGATTAAAAATGTTTGAACAGTACAATATATTTTTATATTAACATTTAAAAAAAAGAACTATTTAAAAAAAATCGAATATTATACCTTTTGGATATCAAACCCTATAGTTGTAAGTGCATCACTTTAACTGACCAATAGCATCCTGTGCTTAGTTATCAGAGCTGCGTCAGAGGCTGGACCGTGCTGAGGAAGACCGCGAGGAGCTGCAGGAAGAGCTACGCAGAGAGCGAGAAGCCAGAGAGAGGCTGGAGCGAACCATCTCTGAGCTCAAACATCAGATGAGGGAATCCGCCCACCCTGCTTCAATGGACAGTCCCATGTCTTCAGCCTGTAGCGACACACACATGTCCCCAACACCTTAGCAAGGTCTACGGTCACCAACCCGCAATCTGATTTCTGTGATCAAGAGTCATTTTGGAATGGTGTCTCCGTTGGATGCCAAAGTTGTTTTTATTGCAGTTCTACGGAACAATTGTACAATTCGGGTCGTCCTGAGTAGGTTTGGGTTTAATGCTGTGAATTTGTTGAGTAACTATTAAGTTGAACTGATTTTTTTGGACATGTGAATAAGGATTTTTGGTGTTTTGATACAAATTAAGTAGTTAGAAACATTATGCAAACCACTAACCCTGCAAGTGTACAATCAACATCATCCGTTTTGGTTTATCAGTGCTAGGACTACTGATATCTAATGACATTTTTTTTTTTAAATATTGGAATTGTTTAAAAATACTGATATTGTTTCTAAAATATTTATTGTTTATGGATAAATGTTATGTGAATAATCTTATGTCAAATTATACATATTTAACATTCTTTTTGCCATATTTTGTTTATATTTTATGTAGGTTATGCTCATTATGAATGTACAAAATATATGCATGTGTACTTTCATAAAATATGGATAAATATACTATGTTTACACTGTGGTATGAAGTTCAGAAAATGTTTTCTATGCCATTTACAGTGAATGTTTGCCTCTCTTAATGACCACCAGAATTCTTTTCTCTCATTTCAAGGACTTTTAACACCAAACAGGGAAAAAAAAACGTTATGCTAAATGTTATAATACTCATTGCCACAAAATTTACAGTTTAAGTATATGACATGGTCCTTGTACTTTACATTCTATAAACTGTCTAGACAAACAGGTCTATATGTACTTTGCTCAGAGAAAGATGTGTTATTCTTCTATGTGTGAGAAAGAAAATTATGTATTGCTATTGTTTGCTGTAACTGACAATCAGCTTGTTTATCTGTAATTGCTTTTATATCCAAAATTTAACAGTTAAGATGAATTAAATAGTTGCTACCTCATACAAACACATACAGATATATACATAGAAAAGCTATAGGTTGTGTATTTGTGTATAGAAGTGGATGGAGTAGTCAGTCAGGCATATGACGATGAAATACCTCTATGCTGCTGCTATGATATTTCTTTATATGATTTTTTTCCTTTTTTCAGTTTCCAGATTACTTATAGATGCATGAGAGCTTGAAGAAATATATAATATATATATAAAATACAGATATACTAAGTATTGTTTCCTAACCTTTAAGCCAAACATAATTTCACAATGATGTTGTCAAGTACAAAATGTTAATCATCTTTGCTAGTGCCATCTTTTATGTGTATCATATGACATGACACTTTTGTCCTACCTCCACTTGTGATCGAGACACTTTGTATCACCCACCAACTTCTGTATGTCATCTTTCTACATTAACTCATGGGAAATTATATATTAATGTGCTGTTGGGGACAAGAATAAAAATGATTATATATAATTATATACAATGACTTGCATTTACTTGTCTTGTAATACAAATGCACAGTGTGCATCATAGTTACGATATTTAATGGTAGATATACTACAATAAAGCTATGGTAACGGTATTATCCACCACTGGCATTAAAAAAATAATCAAAATAACATACCCCGAAAGCTTCTTTCACTGCTTGAAGGAGATATTGTTACTACAGTTCTTTACGACATTGCTTTAAAACCATATATATATATTATGGTTTTAAAGCACTGTCGTAAAGAACTGTAGTAACAATATTTCAGCAGACACTCACGGTTTCCAAGATTACCATAGTAAACTTTTCTTAAGGAGTTCCTCTTAACCATCTCCGGTGTCCACTCAGCAAATTCATGGGTTTGTGCAATTTTCATAAATGAATAACTAAGATTTTAAATGAATTAGGCTTTTAAAGTGACCGGATTCATACGACAGCTCTTTGTTTACAGTGTTTTAATAAAGCCAAAGTTCAGGCTAACTTCCGGGATCCGATATGAATGAGATGAATGTGACAGGTGTAAATGCGGACTGAAAATGCCCCAAATCATCGCGCACTGATGAACGCATATGTAAAAAATTTCAGAAAATATTTCAAGGTTGGAACAGCTCGAGTCATTCTCGAATTTTGACTGAACGGTTTTAAAACAGGTCCTGTTGCAACGATGAGCAGGATATGAGAAAGTAAACAAATAAATCGACTGTCTTTCGTGATGTTTTAAATATGAATGTATTCGTTTTTCAGATTGAAAAAGGACACAATAATCATACATAAATTACCTGCAGATAAGCCGAGATCTTATTTTAAGAATCAATGGATTCAACAGGTATGTTATCTGGAATGTCCGGTCACATTGAACCCCAAAATATGAAATTATACTTGTTGTTTATATAAAAAAGCCCCTTTTAAAACTTGTTTTAATTTTACCTGAAAGTTAAGTAAATTAACCACATCTCATAATTGTTAAATGCAAAATACATTAACGTTTATGTAAAAGATGATATAAAAATATTAAATAATATTTACATATATTATACATTTAGTCTTTGCTGAAAAAAAAAACTTCAAAGTGAAACATCAGGAATGATAATTGTCCTGAAAACATATCATATATATAATTTTTCTTTTTTATTAATTTGGTGTAAGATTAAAACAAATATTTTTTCTCAAAAGTCACCATTTATGCAATTATGCAACACTAAATAATTTATTAATTTACTAATAAATACATTTGGAGTCAACTATTAATCTATTTTGTCATCATATGCAGAGTCTACCAAAGGGGAAGGAGAGTGTTCAGAAAAGATCTCCTCTGGATCTGATTATGAACCAGCTCTGAAGGAAAGCCTCTTTCGCAGAGAGAAAGAAACCGGCTGTGGGCCGCCTCTTCCGCCCATCAGAGAGCAGTGTCAAGAGAAAGGTAGGCATACCTGAAGTGAAAGAATCAGAGGCCAGTGAGGGAAAGGAAAATAATGAGCCTGGGAAAGGTGGGCATTAGATGTTTTTAGAAGACTTGTTTTCCTTTAGAGATCAGTGACACAGATGATGAGACTGGCATTGTTGTGGGCTGGGGTCGGGTGAAGCAGTTCGTTCAGAAGCTTGGGAAAACCCCTCACAGTCAGAATCTGAGCCTGAGCCACTGTGAACTGACAGCTACAGATGTGATGGAACTAGGTGGGTGTTGTGACATGCTGTTTTCCCCACAGTACAGTAACAAGACCGTACATGTGTCAGGATCTCCAATTATTGTTATTGACGTTACCTCAGCCACATTACTGCCATTTCTGGCTCAACTGGAGGTGATGGACCTGTCCTGGAATGATCTGGTTGGAGGCTCCCTGAAGGCACTTACTGCCCATCTGCAGCATGTAGGGAAACTGAGAGTGCTGAAGCTGTGCAGCTGCAGATTAACAGATCAAGATCTTACTGCTCTTGGTACAGGAAGTATTCATTTCTTATTATGACTTAAAAGGATAGTTCACCCAAAAATGAAAATTCTGTCATCATTTACTTTCGATGTCATTACAAACATGTATGACATTCTTTCTTCTGCGGAATACATTTTGAAGAATGTTGGTAACCTATTGACTTCCATTATTTTTTCATAATACAATGGAAGTCGATGGGAACTGAATCTCAATGGAACTCATACAAATGAAAGTCAATGGGAATGTTAAATACAAAAGATATTTTGAAGAATGTTGCTGAGCAAATAGTTTCAGGTTCTATTGACTTCCATTGTATGGTTAAAAAATATAATGGAAGTCAATGGGAACCAAAACTTTTTGGTTCCCTTTGGGAACTCTTTGGGAACTCAAACCTCTCTTAAAATGATATTCTAAGAGAGGTATATTTGGGAACTTGGTTCTCTTTGGGAACTCAAACCTTTCTAAAAATGATATTCCAGGTGAAGCTCTCGACTGCATTCCTCTAATAGAGGCGCTAGATTTGTCCTGGAATGTTGGCGTTGGCGCAGAAAATTTCAGACACTTAACAGAACACCTCCAACCTCAAAGCACACTGAAGGAACTCCGCCTGGTGGACTGTCAGCTCTCTGAGTCAGACATTACAGCTCTGAGTAAGACGTGTCTTGTATAAAACTCATATAATGATGGTAATTGGAATAGAACCTCCAACTATTCCCCTGAAGGATTTCATATGACATTGAAGACTATGAAGTTTCATTTTTGGGGCAGTGGTGGACTAGGTACACTTGAGCACTAAAATAGAGTTAAATTATACATACTTTGATGAAATACAACATCAGTAAAAACGTCTGCTTGAGTAAAGATTTGTATTTACACATTTAGACTAATGAGAATTTGGGTGGGGGGGGATGTGCACAATGACAAAATGCTTTATTTTATATTTATTTGAATATTTTTATATTTATTTTTAAAAGATAACACATAATTTATTTTATGCTAAATATAATTAATTACTTTTAGGTTAAAATATCTCAGACATATTCTTGGCAGGTTTCTAATACCATTTATTATTCCTCCAGCTCAAAATGCCTATTTAAGGAGCGAGGGGTCTAATGTCATGTCAGATAAGAGATCATTATGACATCATTGTGAATTATTAGGAATCAGCGCAGTCAGACTTAGGAACATATTACCGTACTCACAGTTCTTGGCTCATTTTGAGTTGGACTAGACAGATTTAGTGATTTGTTAACTTGAGACTTGCTCTGACTGGATCATTGAATCAGTTCTTAACTGATGCAATCAGTAGTTGATTTCACAAATAAACCACTAAAAGAGGTTTGTGAACTAGACCGGTTAAAATAGTTCATTAAAAAGTAGAGTCTTGGTTTTTTTCTTTAAAATAACTAGGAATGGCATGTTTTGTTTCTAAAATGTAGCAAAAGATGTTATTCTTGTAATCCAGCTTTCCCCCCAAAATGAATATACTCTGATATAGCACCGATTCTTAAAAATATACTAAGATACAGTAACAAAGTAAAAATTCTTTAGTCCACCATTGCGTTTGAGTGTATAAACAAGGAAAAAAGCTTTAGGTCATTCAGAATAAGCCTATAATGAGCTGTAAATGGTTATTTATCATTTGTCTTCCCATGTTGTCTAGTTTGGAGGAGTTAGATCTGTCCAATAGCAAACTGTCAATCAAGGGAATGGAGAACTTCACCTCCTCTTTAGGCTCAGCTCCACAAATGAAGACCCTAAAACTGAGCATACTTGAAAGGTTGAACTTGTCATGGAAAAAGTGTGTGGGAAAAAATCTGAGACAATTTCTGGAGCCTTTGCAGCCTGATTGCAAACTACAGGAACTCAGACTGAGTAGCTGTAATTTAACCACTGAAGATGTGCTACATCTAGGTCAGTTCTGGTCAAAGAACGTTCAATCAATTACGTTAAGGCTAAGGTTCTAC